CACATGTAAAAAAAAACACCAAGGCCAGAGATCGCACCGCCAACGCCACAAACCAGCATCTGAAGAGGTTAAGACTGTCTACCTTCTAAAGCTTTGGAAAAGTGTGAACAAAGACTTAAAGGATAACTATGTGGTCAGTGTTTTCCCCCATAGTTCTCCTTAGGGTAACGGGAGGACACCAACTAGCGTCCTCCCATCACCCTAAGCTCAGTATATAGGGAGCTACAGCTCGCGGTATACTGAGACGCCGGAGCGGATCCCGACAATTATGTCTGGATCACCCCAGATGTGCTCACTGCTCTAATCTAGTTGAACGCTCTTATCGCTCACTTGGCAGACCCACTGGTTGGAGATATGAGACAACCAAGAAATCCAGATGACCCTCCACCTTGAGAGGAGCGGGTGGTGGTGGTGGTGGGGCAAACCCTCGTACAGAGGAAGGTTTCTTGGTGGACTTTGTTGGTTTTGACTGCCAGGGGGACTTGGCCCCTGAGGAGATGGAGGGCTTGCCACCCAAGTCAGAAGAGGTGTAGGAATAAAAAAAAAAAGTGAGCAAAACTAGTAGGACCTGGTTTATGGTGCAAGTCTTTAGCAGAAAGGAGCTCTTACCATCCCTCCCAAACTCTCACCTCCCCCGTAAGATCCTTAATGATGTCATCCAAAGTGGCCCTGAACAGACAATCCCCTTGAAGTGGGAGCTCCATGAGGGCCTTGGAAGTCTGGTCAACCAACTCGCACTTGAGCAACAACAGCCTCCTAATAACCACAGCCAAAACCCCACAGCTTGGATACCAAAGGCCGGCACCCAAGGCATGGCTACAAAGATATTCAAGACCTCGCGTGAATTGATCCACAAGCTCAACATCGGCCAGAGCAGCATACAGAAGCTTGGCCCACTTCATCAAAGTCTGAGAAACCAGGACCGAGGCCAAGACTGGAGCAAGGGAAGCTCCAGCCAACGGTATACATGCTCCTGGACACCACTTTAGTTTTCCCATCAGTGAGATCCCTAAAAGATGGAGAATCCTGTACTGGAGTAACAGTAGAGTTAAGTTGAGACACTGGCGGGTCCGCGGTCGGTGGGGAAGCCCACTTAGAAACGCTCCATCAAAAGAATAGCAAACCGTGAAACGCGTCGGGACTGTGAGAGACTTAGAAGGCCATTTCCGCTTGTTCAGGAATCCATGGAAGAAAGGATATAGAAAAACCTTGCTGGATCGTAGAGATTTATGAGTCCCATAAGGGTCCTGGGGGCTCCGCAGAGGTACTGGGAACAGTGGCGTCACAAGGGGGATGCGACACGCACACGGGTGACACCATTGGAGGGGTGACACCTCAATGACTCGCAATCATTTTGGTGTCCCCCCCCCCCTCTGAAAAGTCGGGCGCTCGGTCATGGACCGAACGCCTGACAGTATCAGGAGAGAGGAGGGGACCGGGCGGCATGCCTCATCCCGCCGGGTGACTGTCCCCTCCTCTCTCTGCCGGTGTCCATCACCAAGATGGCCGCCGGCAGGTATCGGAGTACTGCCGCGCGTGCGCGGTGACGTCTCGGAGGGGTGACACTCGGTTACCGCTCCGGGTGTCACCCAGCCTCGGGACGCCCCTGACTGGGGACATCCCGAGTCTGAAGAGTCTCCCTAACAGAGTAGATAAGAACGGAGACCAGTTGTTCCTCCTGGAGGATGGCAGAAGCCGAAAAGCCTCGTCATCACTGCTGGACGGGTCTGGTTCAGGATCTGATGTACTAGGAGTGCCTACCGCCGCCGGTGTACCCTCCTTGCCAATGGATGCCACAGACAAAGCTGGGGACATAGGAGGGCGTTTTGTACTTCGTTCCCATCCCCCGCAGGCGGCAGGATAACCCGGTGGTCAAGATCAACAGATCTTCGCCGTGTCCTTCAACGAACGGAAGAGAAAGATCATTCTTGGCGTGTGCTGTTCCTGTTATTATTATTATACGGGATTTATAGAGCGCCAACATTCTGCGCAGCGCTTTACAATATAAGGAGGACATTACAATTCAAGACAAGATGGTGAGGAGGGCCCCGCCCCTGAGGGCTTACAATCTATAAAGGGGAGGGGCCAGTGATACATGAGGAGGGAGCTGTGTGGGGATGAATGGTTGAGCGGTCAGGTTGAGGTGGGATCGGCTTCCCTGAAGAGATGAGTCTTAAGGGATCGCCTAAAGCAGGGGGTCTCAAACCTCCGGCCCTCCAGCTGCGGTGCAACTACAAACCCCACGAGGCGTTGCAAGATTCTCACAGCCACAGGCACGACTCCCAAAGAGAGATGCATCATGGGATTTGTAGTTCCACCACAGCTGGAGGTTTGAGACCCCTGGCCTAAAGGCCAGACAGTGTGGGAGACAGACGGACAGGTTGGGGTAGAGAGTTCCAGAGGATGGGAGGGACTCCAGTGAAGTCCTGGAGGCGAGCGTGGGAGGAGTTGATGATATCATTTCTTCAATGGCCAGCGCCTGAGATGCAACGGTGGGGGTGTAATCTCCCCCCGGAGCGGCCCGCGGAAGGATTGTTGGGTGCCGGAACACTTTGCACGGCGGCTCCCCAGGCATGCGACGGGAAAGCCCAGCAGGCAAGACTCTAGTTAGGGGAGCGCCGCCATTGGATGACACCGCAATGCACTGACGTGTTCATGCCCCTGGGCCCCCTTCACGCCTGCCTCGTGCCCGTGTTGGGGTGAATGACATTGAACTGAATCTCAAGACATCGCAGTCCAAAATGTAATCCATAAATATAAAAAATGGGGAATTCATAGACTGGGAGGCCATTAGAGTTGTGCGTGTAAAGGCGTCCCAATACTTCTGGCAATGCAGTGTATATACATACTGGGGTCATGTGACCTCGGACGGTGATTGGTTGCGGCAGATCTTACGTAGGGGCTTCATAGCAGAGGGGGGGGGAGTGAATACTTTTGCACGCACCATTTTTCCCTTTTTTTAAAAACAGGTTATATTCTGGATTTCGACTATTTTTCCGTTAACGTCCATTACGTGCGATCCCAAAAAAAGCCATTTTAATTCCAGGTTTTAATGTGACAAAATAGGAAAAATGACGAGGGGGTGAATACTTTTGCAAGTCACTGTAAGGGGCCAAAGAGCTTTAGGGCCCATTCGCACCATCAACAGTGCGTTCCAGAGCGGTTAGCTGCTAGAACGCACTGTATCACATCCCGGGCCGGCGCCATGCGTTCTGGGGGTGCATTGAAGTTGATGGCACCGCAGCCACGGCCTGTGTTCTGGTCCAACGCAAAACATGTAACTTGTGTGTGAGAAGGCTCTGGTGGAAGCTGACATTCCCTGTATCCTCCTATAACACTGTGTGAGAAGACTCTGATGGAAGCTGCCTGTAACCTCCTATATAACAGGTACCGTGTTGGTACATGAAGGAAGTGTGAGAAGTATCTGATGGAAGCTGTAAGTCCCTGAATAGCACACAGGAAAACAGCTGACCCTGGCGGCTGAAGTCGTAGTATGCGTCTGCTTCCTTCAGAGCCCTCTCACACAGGTGTCGGGAGCCGGTGTATACTGTCGGTACGGTACAGAAGGTGCCTTAATCTATTCCCTCCGCTTCTAGGAGGTAAATACCGCCCGGAGGGCCATATCTAGCCCCCCAGGGTCACCCCAGACCCCCGGGGGGCCCTACGCGCTCCCTGCCTCTCCTCACACAAGATGGCGGCACCTCTCCTCAGCCCCACAGCCAGTAGCGTCTTCCCGGGTTCAGATGGGGCGGGCTCCGCATCCTACTGACGGCTCGAAGTGCCAATCTTCAACGCGCATTCGCCGGACGTCGCGGGCCGCCCGGCCAATGAGCGGAGTGGGCGGGCTCTCGGCTCTCCTCAGTGGAGCCCTGCGCTCTGGATAGCGGGCGCCGTCTCTCCGGCGTGCGTCCGTCTGGCTCGAACTCCTCCTCCAATCGGAGGGCGCCTCCGGGAAAGCCAGTCCCCGCAGCAGCCAATGAGAGGCTCCCTCCGTGTGCCTCGGCCCCGCCCTACGGCCACTGTTATGCGGGAATCCCGGGCGCAGGGTGCAGAGCGCGGCCGTTTCCTGCCCTGATGCATGGTGGTCGGACGGAGGAATTGTTGGAAAATTGTGTCGGAGGTTGGTGTATAAATGTGTGTTACCCAGTGTGCCTTGTGTGAGAGCCCGCCCGGGGGACAGGCCGCGGCCTACCACACACATCTACGGCCCTACCGAGCGCATCTACGGCCTGAAGGGGAGCGAGGCCCCGACCTGGGGGGGAGGGGAGAGCTGGGTACCGGGAGAAGAGAGAACCGCGACAGGGGGACGCGGGACACAAGGGGGGCCGGAGGCCTCAAATCGTCCTATATACTCAACCCGATATACCGAGTCATATACTTCACTGTATACAATAATATACTGTATACGAGGACCCGGGTGTTATTATATATACAGAGAGCCGGGTGTTATTATATACAGAGAGCCGGGTGTTATTAAATATACAGAGAGCCGGGTGTTATTATATATACAGAGAGCCGGGTGTTATTATATACGGGGAGCCGGGTGTTATTATATATACAGAGAGCCGGGTGTTATTATATATACGGGGAGCCGGGTGTTATTATATATACAGAGAGCCGGGTGTTATTATATATACAGAGAGCCGGGTGTTATTAAATATACAGAGAGCCGGGTGTTATTAAATATACAGAGAGCCGGGTGTTATTATATACAGGGAGCCGGGTGTTATTATATACAGGGAGCCGGGTGTTATTATATACAGGGAGCCGGGTGTTATTATATACGGGGAGCCGGGTGTTATTATATACGGGGAGCCGGGTGTTATTATATACGGGGAGCCGGGTGTTATTATATACGGGGAGCCGGGTGTTATTATATACGGGGAGCCAGGTGTTATATATACGGGGAGCCGGGTGTTATTATATACGAGGAGCCGGGTGTTATTATATACGAGGAGCCGGGTGTTATTATATACGAGGAGCCGGGTGTTATTAGATACAGAGAGCCGGGTGTTATATATACGGGGAGCCGGATGTTATTATATATACGGGGAGCCGGATGTTATTATATATACGGGGAGCCGGGTGTTATTATATATACAGGGAGCCGGGTGTTATTATATATACAGGGAGCCGGGTGTTATTATATATACAGAGAGCCGGGTGTTATTATATACAGAGAGCCGGGTGTTATTATATATACGGGGAGCCGGGTGTTATTATATATACAGAGAGCCGGGTGTTATTATATATACAGAGAGCCGGGTGTTATTATATATACAGAGAGCCGGGTGTTATTATATACAGAGAGCCGGGTGTTATTATATATACAGAGAGCCGGGTGTTATTATATATACAGAGAGCCGGGTGTTATTATATATACAGAGAGCCGGGTGTTATTAAATATACAGAGAGCCGGGTGTTATTATATACAGGGAGCCGGGTGTTATTATATACAGGGAGCCGGGTGTTATTATATACAGGGAGCCGGGTGTTATTATATACGGGGAGCCGGGTGTTATTATATACGGGGAGCCGGGTGTTATTATATACGGGGAGCCGGGTGTTATTATATACGGGGAGCCGGGTGTTATTATATACGGGGAGCCAGGTGTTATATATACGGGGAGCCGGGTGTTATTATATACGAGGAGCCGGGTGTTATTATATACGAGGAGCCGGGTGTTATTATATACGAGGAGCCGGGTGTTATTAGATACAGAGAGCCGGGTGTTATATATACGGGGAGCCGGATGTTATTATATATACGGGGAGCCGGGTGTTATTAGATACAGAGAGCCGGGTGTTATTGTATACAGTACAGAGTAATATATTCCGGTATACAGAGTTCTATATATACTGTATATACCAGTATGGAGGTCTTGTGTTGGCCCCGGAACGCGTCGGTGGTTTCCTCCCTCATTTGGTGGACGATGTCGTCGTGTGATAGACCCCCGGACTCCGTGTTGTGGATGATGTCGTCGTGTGATAGACCCCCGGACTCCGTGTTGTGGATGATGTCGTCGTGTGATAGACCCCCGGACTCCGTGTTGTGTGTGTGTATATAGAACATGTAACACATTTCTGCCGTGTAATATACATCATACCGGATACACCCTTGCACCCGTTAAGCCTTGCAGTGTGGGCTACCAATGCAAGGGTTAAAGAAGAGCTCCGGGCAAAACGTTTATCAGCCATTGCCGTGACGATGCTCCTCCGGCACTGCGAGGGTTAACGGCTCATTTTGTTCCGGGGGCTAAAATAGGAAGAGAAATACCCGAGATATATTATAATGAGACCTTCACCCCCTTCACTAACCCCCCTCCCAGCATGAAGCTCTGTTTATATGATATCATCTCACACTCGTTAGTTCAACTTACCTTTTTATTTTACTTACTATGATTCTTCCACTTCCTGGTCCTCTTGGGCATCAGTGATGTCACCTGCGCCCAAGCGTTGCATCCTGGGAAGGTGACAGCAGCCGAGCAGTGCTGGGAAATCCCATCTGTAATCTCGTGAGATTTCAGGGAAAAGGCATTTTCCTCGCCTGAGGTGATGTGCGTGGTCACATGGGCCAGAGTTCCAGGAAGTACAGGGAGGTGATATATTAATCTGCCCTTAGTAAATATGGCCGCTGCCAGAAGAATGGGGAGGAAAAGAACGAATACAATACACAGCCGGTGTTCTATCGAGATTTCCAACTCCCGCCTGCGCGGCCAACCAAGAATCGGATCACGTTCTCTTAAGTTGCGTTGGCGCGCCTGCGCGGGCACCCCGTTGCACAAGGACTGACGCCAGAACTCGATGAGGATTGCAAGCTTGCGCAGGCTCACTGACGGCAACTGGGGAAGGCAACGGTCCAGTAAAAATGCCACGGCCGGGGCATGCGCGTTAGCGCCATCTCGTCGAAGTCTCCGACCGATGTGACGTCATGAGTTGGAGATCCCGACGGGTTGGCCATTTCGACAGAACACCGGCAATGATCTAGAACAGGGTTAGGCGGCCTTGGCACTCCAGCTGTGGGGAACGTCTATCGTGCCTCTGCCTGGTGGGAGTCGTGGCTGTCGGATTCTTGCAGTGCATCATGGGACTTGTAGTTCCGCAACGGCTGGAGTGTCAAGGTTGCCCACCCCTGATCTAGAAGTGTCTGTGTGTAGACTGTCGCCCCTGAACATTTCTAAAGGTGACTTTGTTGTGATTTCATAGATAAGGGTGACGTTCCTCTTTAACTGCTTGAAGACCAGGTGTTTAGACCCCCTTCCTGGATGTGCAGCTGCCTGTACATCCCTAGGGGGGAAGACGCAGCTACATGGATGCCCCTCCCCGGGTCTGTGCACGCCTGTGTGATGAGCCCTCAATATTCCGTCACATACATGATCAGATCGCTGACCTTTCCTCAATGGATATTGTGATTTCTAGTCTACATAATGTGGATGTCACATGACGCAGCTCCTCGTTGTACACATAGATGTCTCTCTGCACTCATCATTATTATTACTGCAAATTAGAATCTGAATTAACGCGGCACACCTTGCTCTAGGTCAGGGTTAGGCAACCTCGGCTGTCCTGTGCTGACACTACAAATCCCATAAGGCATTGCAAGCCACAGGCATGACTCCCAGAGGCAGAAGCATGATGGGATTTGCAGTTTCAGCACAGCTGGAGAGCCAAGGTTGTCTACCCCTGCCCTAGAACAGGGGTAGCCAAACTCCGGCCCTCCAGCTGTGGTGGAACTACAAATCCCATGAGGCATTGCAAGGTTCTCCCAGCCACAGACATGACTCCCGGAGAGAGATGCATCATGGGATTTGTAGTTTCAGCACAGCTGGAGGGCCGGAGTTTGGCTACCCCTGCTCTAGAATACCAGTGGTGGCGAACCTTGGCACTCCAGCTGTGGCAAAACTACAAACCCCAACATGCATCTGCCTCTGGGAGTCATGCCTGTGGCTGTCAGAGACTTGCAATGCCTCATGGGACTTGTAGTTCCAAAACGGCTGGAGTGCCGAGTTTCGCCACCACTGCTCTAGATCCTTGGTTCTGAATTGGTGGGTTGCCACGTGCCTTCCGCTTTTTCAGGTGAGAGGCTCCTCTGCCTCCCGCTAGCGCAGCACCGTCAGTTCTCGCGCCAAGCAGCTATTCAAAATATGCCGCCAGGTGCCGAGGTGGGCTGGTGCTATGGCAGCGAGGGAGCTCCATCCATACGTGTATTGCTTGTACAGCTCCCTCGCGGGCCCTGTAGAGGTGCCTGGACCGGAGTGACGTCACATTCTGGCTCCCGGCACCTCTACAGGGCATGCAAGGGAGCTGTACAAGCAATGCACGTATGCATGGAGCTCCGTCACAGCGCAGCAGCCCACTGAGGATCCACTTCAGTTCACGTAAGGTACAGAGACAGGGTGGTGTATGTGAGCGGGAGTGTGTCTGTCAGTGTTTTTGAGGGCCCATTCACACTGGTGCAGTACATTAAAGGAGAACTATGGGGTCAGGGCTTTCCCCCATAGTTCTCCTTAGGGTAACGGGAGGACACAAACTAGCGTCCTCCCGTCACCCTAGGCTCAGTATATAGGGAGCTACAGCTCACGGTACACTGAGACGCTGCACCCGGAGCGGATCCCGACGTAGACGTCGAGATCCGCCCAGCTGCGTGAGTGACAGCTGGCTCTGCCTATCTAGAGGCAGAGCCAGCTGTGCCCGCCCCCTCCCCCGTCCGTTCCGCCAGTCAGCGGGGAGGGGGGAATCCAGCCCCTCCACAGTCGCGGCAGAGAGCCGTGACAGGATCGAGAGGTGAGCGAGCGCCGGTATTAGGGCTGCAGCTAACGATTATTTTCATAATCGATTAGTTGGCCGATTATTAAGTTCGATTAATCGGTTAATCGGATAATTAAAAAAAAAAAGGCTCCAGTGATGGACTACTAGTTTCTATTGTGATTATCCCCCCTCATAGTTCTCCTTTAATCGCATAGTACCGTGCAATTACCGCACTGTACCACGCAATCGCTCTTAGGCCTCATTCACACTGCCGCACCTATATGCGCGCACATGCGTATTGTCCCATATGCACATAAAAGGCTCCATACACATAGCCCCGTATGGAGCCGTATATTTGCGTAGCATAAAAAT